GCACACTTCCAACGTATACCAAAAATGGGCTGTTGACGGCAGGTATCACACATAGTGCCATCATGTTTAATACCCGTCGCAGCACTATCCAATATACGTAAATCGTAAGCGCCGGCGCAACGATAATTAGCCGCGGTACCATTATCCCACACTACTACGACTTCTTCGGAAGATTCGAAATTTCGCACAGTGCCAACATGACCTTCCCCACCATCCTATAAAAAGAAATTGAATTTTATATAAAGTTTAGTGTTAATATAGATATTTTTAAAATACTTTGATTAATACGCGATAATTAAAACGTGTTTTATTATTATTATAATGCATCGTATTTTTATTTATTTTTTTTTTTTTTTTGGTTGCTAGACACTAGAGAGTCTCTAGTTGTTTATAGAAGAAATTTAATTGTATTATTGTTTCCCTTTAATTTTTAATTACAATAATTTGAGTTGTATTTATTTACTTAAATGCTAATAATAATATTATGTATGTATGTATTAAAAGCACACATTTTAATACATACTTAAATTGATTAAATTAAATTTAAATTAAAAACAATAAGTCAGGCAATAGCCGAATGGTGTAAGAAATTTTTGTTATGTAGACTTGAAGATTTTTGCACAGAACTAGCACACAATAGAACTTCAACTGGAACTTCTAGAACAAAACTGAACTAACAAATTAAAAAAATTTAACCAAGAATCGTACTTAAATAAAACAACATATTGAAGTAAAAGTGAAACAAAACTGTTGTGAAATTGATCTAGATCTGGAACCAGAACTAGAACTGAAGTAAAAGTGAAGTAGAGCTGAATAAGAACTGAACTAGAGCTGAACTAGAACTGATTCAAAGTGAACTAGAGCTGAATAAAAACTAAACTGAAAGCTGAACTAGAATTGAACTAAAACTGAACTAGAACAGAACTGGAACTTAACTAGAACTGAAATAGAACTGAACTAGAACAGAACTGGAACTTAACTAGAACTGAAATAGAACTGAACTAGAACTGAACTAGAACTGAAATAGAACTGAACTAGAACTGAACTAGAACTGAACTGAAACTGAACTAGAACTGAACTAGAACTGAACTAGAACTGAACTAGAACTGAACTAGAACTGAACTAGAACTGAACTAGAACTGAACTAGAACTGAACTAGAACTGAACTAGAACTAAACTAGAACTATACTAGAACTGAACTAGAACTGAAATAGAACTGAACTAGAACTGAACTAGAACTGAACTAGAACTGAACTAGAACTGAACTAGAACTTAACTAGAACTGAACTAGAACTGAACTAGAACTGAACTAGAACTGAACTAGAACTGAACTAGAACTGAACTAGAACTGAACTAGAACTGAACTAGAACTGAACTAGAACTGAACTAGAACTGAACTAGAACTGAACTAGAACTGAACTAGAACTGAACTAGAACTGAACTAGAACTGAACTAGAACTGAACTAGAACTGAACTAGAACTAGAACTGAACTAGAACTGAACTAGAACTAACTAGAACTGAACTAGAACTGAACTAGAACTGAACTAGAACTGATACTAGAACTGAACTAGAACTGAACTAGAACTGAACTAGAACTGAACTAGAACTGAACTTAGAACTGAACTATAACTGAACTAGAACTGAACTAGAACTGAACTAGAACTGAACTAGAAACTGAACTAGAACTGAACTAGAAACTGAACTAGAACTGAACTTAGAACTGAACTAGAAACTGAACTAGAACTGAACTAGAACTGAACTAGAACTGAACTAGAACTGAACTAGAACCTGAACTAGAACTGAACTAGAACTGAACTAGAACTGAACTAGAACTGAACTAGAACTGAACTAGAACTGAACTAGAACTGAACTAGAACTGAACTAGAACTGAACTAGAACTGAACTAGAACTGAACTAGAACTGAACTAGAACTGAACTAGAACTGAACTAGAACTGAACTAGAACTGAACTAGAACTGAACTAGAACTGAACTAACTGAACTAGAACTGACCTAGAACTGAACTAGAACTGAACTAGAACTGAACTAGACGAACTAGAACTGAACTAGAACTGAACTAGAACTGAACTAGAACTGAACTAAACTGAACTAGAACTGACTAGAACTGAACTAGAACTGAACTAGAACTGAACTAGAACTACTAAACTGAACTAGAACTGAACTAGAACTGAACTAGAACTGAACTAGAACTGAATAACTTAGAACTGAACTAGAACTGAACTAGAACTGAACCTAGAACTAACTAGAACTAAACGAGAACTGAACTAGAACCAGAACTAGAACTGAACTAGAACTGAACTAGAACTGAACTAGAACTGAACTAGAACTGAACTAGAACTGAAACTAGAACTGAACTAGAACTGAACTAGAACTGAACTAGAACTGAACTAGAACTGAACTAGAACTGAACTACGAACTGACTATGAACTGAACTAGAACTGACTAGAACTGAAACTAGAACTGAACTAGAACTGAACTAGAACTGAACTAGAACTGAACTAGAACTGAACTAGAACTGAACTAGAACTGAACTAGAACTGAACTAGAACTGAACTAGAACTGAACTAGAACTGAACTAGAACTGAACTAGAACTGAACTAGAACTGAACTAGAACTGAACTAGAACTGAACTAGAACTGAACTAGAACTGAACTAGAACTGAACTAGAACTGAACTAGAACTGAACTAGAACTGAACTAGAACTGAACTAGAACTGAACTAGAACCGAACTAGAACTGAACTAGAACTGAACTACAACTAAACTAGAACTGAACTAGAACTGGACTAGAACTGAACTAGAACTGAACTAGAACTGAACTAGAACTGAACTAGAACTAGAACTGAACTAGAACCGAACTAGAACTGAACTAGAACTGAACTAGAACTGAACTAGAACTGAACTAGAACTGAACTAGAACTGAACTAGAACTAGAACTGAACTAGAACCGAACTAGAACTGAACTAGAACTGAACTAGAACTGAACTAGAACTGAACTAGAACTGAACTAGAACTGAACTAGAACTGAACTAGAACTGAACTAGAACTGAACTAGAGCTAAACTAGAACAGAACAAGATCAGAAATAGAACAGAACAATATCAGAACTAGAACAGAAATAGAACAGAACAGAACTAGAACTGAACTAGAACTGAACTAGAACTGAACTAGAACTGAACTAGAACTGAACTAGAACAACACTAGAACAGAACTAGAACAGAACTAGAACAGAACTAGAACAAAACTAGCACAGAACTAGAACAGATGTAGAAAAGAACTAGAACAGAACTGGAACAGAACTAGAACAAAACTAGAACAGAACTTGAACTGAACTAGAACTGAACTAGAACTGAACTAGAACTGAACTAGAACTGAACTAGAACTGAACTAGAACTGAACTAGAACTGAACTAGATCTGAACTTGACCTGAACTAGAACTGAACTAATATTCAACTGGAGCTTAATGGTTACATTTAATATTACAAATAGCGTAATTTTGTATTCGTTATAACCGTTTTATTAATAAAATTGATTTAAAAACAAGCCTAGCTTATCGATTTTTAGCTTTGAAAGACCGGCTTTTTTATAAATATTCCAATTAAAAACATATTGATAATGTATTGCGTCTTTTTGTTTTTGTATTTCTTATTTTATATGCAGAATAAGGCATTTAAAAATAATTTTTCAAAAATAAATACATTTTTAATAAACAAAATTAAATTGCGTCCAAATAGGGTAAATCTCTGTAGACATCGGGCAAATATTGTACCTGAATGCTTTTAATAAATTTTCGAATTTACTGGACACTTCAAAGTGAAACCAAACATTTCCAAATCATTAAAAGATTTCGCTTCATTTTCCATTTTTTACACTATAAATTTCATATTGATTATTTCCTCAAACTCCGCCGAACGCCCAAGCCCAATAGAACACAACAACGACAAATTCAATTATTTTCAATCAACGACCAAACCATAAAAGTCAAACAAAAGGTCAATGACAATGAATGAATTCTCAAGCAGTACAATAAATGTTGTCATACAATCTATACTAGACACTCAAACTAAGACAAATTAATAATTAATATAATTCAGCTACTACCACCCGAAATTGGAATAAAGTGACACCTACCTGTTTACCCCATTTCCAATCGGGACCTCTTATAACTCGAGCGCCTACACCCTCCATGGCAAAACGTGATTGACGATTTATAACACTACCGCCGTTTGATTGTGGAGCACCTGCCGCTACGGCCGCTGATGAAGAAGAGCCTGCACCACCTACAGCCCCTGCCACCGAAGAACTTGACGTAGAAGCCGTGGCTCCACTTGTGCCACCTCCACCACCAGTAGCAGCTGCTACTAAACCCGTATTTGTGCTTCCTGTATTGGCATCTTTACCTGCAGCTGTTGCTGCACAAGCCATGGAATTTCACTTTTTTACTGTAGTTTTCTTTTCCAAAATGTTTAATTTGTAGTTTGAAGGCTAGCTGGTAATTTTTTTCTTTTATTTGTTTGTGTAAGTGTGTGTGTGTTTTGTGAAAATGCAATTGCTTGGCACTTGACAAATTTTCTTTCTTTTGGAGTGTTTTTTCTGGAAGATTTATTTATTTTAACACTTTAATTTTTATTCATCAACAATGTTCGTAATTTTTTTTTATAGTTTTTGTGCGGTTTCTTGTGTTTTTGTTGGCATTTAAAGTATGAAAATTCTAAAAACTTGATTGATTTGTGAAATTATGCGTTCGAACTCCGGAAAAATTATTTTTTTTTCTTCTTCGTCACAATTTTTTTTTATCTAGCTATTTCACTTGTTGTACAGAATGTCAATGAAGTTGTTAATGTAGTGTTCTCTTTCTAACGCAACAGCTGTTATTGAATGGCGTTACCATCTGTATTGAAATGTAAAAGGTTGCATTTAAGTTGGAAGTACACAACGTGCGTTGAGGCGGAAACACGTTTCACACTTTACGCACAACGCGTCATTTCGATCTTAAAGCTGGAGGTCCACACTACGCGTTTTCACGTCAAAGCATTAGGGTTCTATAAATCGACTTTCGAATAATCGAACAATCGACTTATTGTCGAAAAAAGTCGAAGTCGACTATTTTGTTCCAAAAAAGTCGGTAACTCGACTATCGTCTATGAAAAAAGTCGAAAAGTCGACTTTGTAAATAAAAGTTGAAAAAAGTCGAAAAGTCGGAAAGTCGAAAAGTCGATAAGTCGAAAAAAGTCGAAAAGTCGAAAAAAGTCGAAAAGTCGGAAAAAGTCGGAAAAAGTCGAAAAGTCGGAAAAAGTCGAAAAGTCGAAAAAAGTCGAAAATAGTCGAAAATTTTAAAAAAGTGGAAAAGAGGTCAAAAACTCTAAAATAGTCGGAAAAATTCGAAAAAAGTAAAAAAATAGTCGAAAAAAAGTCGAAATAAATCGAAAATAGTCAAAAAGTCGTAAAAAATCGAAAAGTCGAAAAAGTCGAAAAGTCGAAAAAAGTCGAAAAAAGTCGAAAAAAGTCGAAAAAAGTCGAAAAAAGTCGAAAAAAGTCGAAAAAAGTCGAAAAAAGTCGAAAAAGTCGAAAAGTCGAAAAAGTCGAAAAGTCGAAAAAAGTCGAAAAAAGTCGGAAAAAGTCGGAAAAAGTCGAAAAGTCGAAAAGTCGAAAAAAGTCGGAAAAAGTCGAAAAGTCGAAAAAAGTCGGAAAGAGTCGAAAAGTCGGAAAAAGTCGAAAGGTCGAAAAGTCGACCATTTATAAAATACTAAAAGTCGAAAAGTCTAAAAGTCGACTTTTAAATAAATGAAAAAGGTCGAAAAGTCGAAAAATCGACTTTTCATACAATGGAAAAAGTCGAAAGGTCGAAAAGTCGACTTTTAACTAAATGCAAAAAGTCGAAAAGTCGACTTTTCGTTTCAACTATAGAACCCTACAAAGCATTGCGTGCTTTTCATACAGGTGGAAGTACACAACACGCTTTGTACACGGCAACGCGTTATAGGCTTCTGTCAAAAAAAAGTTGAAATAGTGTATTTTCATTTAACAAGTTACACATTGTAGTTTGTAACGCGTCTGCAGCGAAAAGTTCAGCCACCTTCAACTTTTAACGCATCGGCAGTTGATCAGTGTTGTATTTTGTTTTGTATAGAAAATAAAATGAAATGAATTTCTCAAATAATGGAAGAAAAATATTAAAAAATATACAAAAACTTAAAATTTTAATTTTCTTCAAAATCATTAAAAGAAAGGTCAAAATGACGCGTGGTGTGTAACTTGCCGCTTAAAAAGCGCGAAAACTTTGCAAAGCGTGAAACGCGTTGCAGCCTCATCTTCCACCTTTACAAAGCTAGATCAACTTTAAGCATTCTACGCGTCAAGGCATCTTACGCTTTTGTGCTTGTAACTAATAACATTAATTTTACTTCTTTGACAACCGCGTAGAATGCGAAGAAGCGTAGAACGCGTGGTGTGGACCTCCAGCTTTACTTTTAAAGTTGGTAAAGCCTGCAACTATTTTAAAGATCTGAAATTTAACTACGTAATTAGGTAAATAAGTTTATTTTGAATTGTATATTAAATTAACCGTTTTTTATTACCTATAGTACTAAAGTTTACAACACTGTTTTATTTATTGAGATAACTGCTATTGGCAACTCTATTTCTAAGCTCTTTGTTTTCTTTTTGAGTTTATATCTGTCACTCATTTTCTCTCTTAATTCATCAGCCTTTTAATAATTATTTTTCAAATTTTATGCAAATACACAGTAGAAAACAAAAACCAAAAACAGACGACAACAACCAAAAAAAAAAAGAAGAAATACAAAAATATTGGAAAAACACTAAATTTAAGAGATTAGGAAATAATAAAATAAGTTAAAATTAAAATTGCAGTAGAATTAAGTATGTCAACGAGTAATACGGATACCGGTGATACGGTAAATATAACAACAACAGAACTACAACAAAATATGGACAACAATGTAGTAAACGAAGGACAGTTAGCCATACAAATGAGCCAAGATGAACCAGCACCACGTGAAGCTTTGGTAAGTGTCGAGGAAAGGAGGCAGAAGATATTTATTTACTAATACAGGGATTTGTTTTTTTTTTAGATAACAACTGCTGTTAATTTTCTTAACAATGCCAAAGTACGCCATACTACACTGTCGCAAAAACAACAGTTTCTAAGGTCCAAAGGTCTTACCTCGACCGAAATACAAATAGCCTGTGAAAGGGCGGGGGTATTTAGTCAGGATCCTAATGCTCCTACAGTTATAAATATGGGCATAAATGCTACCCAGACGCATGCTCAATTGGCTTTGCAGCAGCCTAAGCCTACAGCTTTGCAACGTCTCAAGGAAGTTTTACATTCCATGGCTTTGTTAGGGGGAGTAGCTTATGCCATATTCATGTTTTGGAAGGTGAGTGAATATCTGAACTAAATTTCTGGCTAATTACTTAATATTTATAAAATTTATAGAAATTCCTGCAAACCTTTTTGTTTGGTGGCAAAAAGAAGAAATCCGTGGATGATGCCTTAAATGAAATCGACAAAAAGGTCGATACCCGACTGGCAGAGGTTAAAACAGAACTGACACAGGTCAAGGAAAGCTTGGCCCGCGAACAACGCGATCAAACTCAGCAATTTATGCGTGAATTTAATCAATTTAAAAGTGATCTAGAGGCTATTAAGGGATTACTCTTAAATCGCAAACAATTTCCATCGCCTTTGACAGCCACTGTGGGGGCTCCCTCTATACCAGCTTGGCAATTGTCTTCTTCCTCCCCTCGGCGCATTTTACGCAATAGCCAATCGGATGATAATGAAATAGCTAATGATACTGGCTCTGGTTCGGGTTCATCGGAAACAGAGGTCGTTACCAAAAATAGTGATTCCAGTTTAGAAATTATGTAAAATGAAGAAAAAGCTTTATGCCTCTTACTTAAGCTTTATAAGTCATAAACAAATAGTAAAGAATATATTAAAAGAAACAGAAACGAAAAAACATTAGCCATTAGACTCCAAGCAACATTGTTTGGTTTTGATTATATTCTTAACTAATTTTGTGTGCTATGAACTGATAAGATTTGTGTTAATACTTTGTTACACACATACACTCGGTTAATTTACTAATCTAATCAAATTTGGCTTTGCGTTTGTTTTCTCTTTTACTTAAGTTTTTGTATTTATTAAAAAAAAAACTTCCTTTTTTGTTTATTTACGTTTTTATTGTATATTTTTTTTTTTTTGTAATTTTTTAGTTTAGCCTTTTAAGATTTAATTTGGTGTAAAAAGCAAATACATATGTAGTTGAGTTTTTTTTCTATTTATTTCATTTTCCTTAATAAGTTTAGTGGTTCTTGATTTCTAATATTTTGTTATTGTAGAAAAATATTGGCTAATTTTGACTTGAAATGATAATAAAAGAAAAATAACCCAAAACAAAGAAGTTGTACCAACCTATTACCCTCAACAGAGCGAATAGCGTTGGATAGACCTTTAAAATACCTTTTATTTGATATACATATTGCAGACAGGGAAGAGAACCTGCCGCGGAGAACAAGAGTAGTTCTGGCTTAATGCCTATTGCTCGCGCATAGACCGCGACCAATGTACAGCTTGTGGTCAAGGTCCTCATGATACCCACAACATATTCAACTGTTTAGCCAACCTTACTTCACTCTGTCCAATGGATTTATCGATACATTCACATATGAAGTAACACAATTAAGCCTGGACATTGATGCTGAACTCCCCAACTAGATTATTATATAGTTTTAGCTGTTACAACAACAACAACAATAGTTTAATACAACTGGGATATTGGCACATGTGATATTGGTTCCATGACGAACCGGGGAGAAATTGCGGGACTTAACTCTCGATCAGTTTCCATTCATCTCTCCTCTTTTCCTATTTTCTGTCTCTCTTGTTTTCTACTAGTTTTTTTTGTTTATCTTTAAAGGAAATTTACCTTATGGTCTAGAAGTGGAGATGACTATAGACTACATTATATACTGGATTATAGACTAGACTTTAGGCTAGACAATAGATTAACTATAAACTAAACAGTAGATAAGACTGTAGATTAGACTATACACTAAGCTGTATACTAGACTATAGACTAATCAATAAACTAGATTATAGACTAGACTACAGATAAGACTATAGTCTAGACTAAAGACTAGGTTACAGATTACACTATAGACTAGACTGTAGACTAGACTATAATCTAGATTGTAGTCTATAATCTACAATAACAGACCAGACTATAATTTAGACTATAGACTAGACCACATATTAGGCTATAGACTAGACTACATATAATACTATAGACTAGACTAGAATACAGATTAGACAATATATTATAGACTAGACTATAGGCTATACAACAGACTTAACTAGAATATAGACTAGATTATGGACTAGACTATAGACTAGACTGTACATTAGACTATAGACTAGATTATGGAGTAAACTATAGACTAATCTATAGGTTTGACTGTAGACTATAGACTAGACTATGAACTAGATTATAGACTACACAATAGACTAGAATATACTATAGACTAGTATATAAAAAGTTTATAGACTAGCATATAGACTAGACAATAAACTAAACTATAGACTAGACTATCGACTATACTTTACGCTGGACAATAGACTTAACTTTAGGCTAGACAAAAGTCTAGATTATAAATTAACCTAGATTATAGACTACATCATAAACTAGTATATTGACTAGACTATAGACTAGACTATAGGCAAGACTATAGACTAGCATATAGACTAAACTATAGACTAGACTTTAAGCTGGATAATAGACTAAACTTTAGGCTATAGACTAGACTTTAAGCTGGATAATATACTAAAATTTAGGCTAGACAAAAGACTAGATTATAAATGAAGCTGTATCCATGACTGTAGACAAGACTATAGACTGAATATACACTAGACTTTAGACTAAATTAAAGACTAGACTATAAATTCTATACTGGACAATAGATTAGACTAAAGACTAGACAATAGACTAGACTATATACTACACTTTAGACTATAGACTCTACTAGAGAGTATAGACTAGACTACACTATAGATTAGACTATACTAAAGACCAGACTATACTATAGACTAGACAATAGATTAGACTATAGACTAGACATCTATATACTATAGACTAGACTATAAACTAGATTATACGCCAGACCATAGACTAGAATATAGAGTAGACTACAGACTAGACTACCGACTACACTATGCACTAGACTAGAGACTAGGCTATGGACTAGTCTATAGATTAGACTATAAACTAAACTATAGACTTGACTATAGACTAGACTATAGGCCACACTATATAATAACCTATAGACTAGACTATAGACTAGACTTTAGACTAGACTGTAAACTAGACAATAGACTAGATTAGTCTATTGACTACACTATTGACACACTATAGACTAGTCTACATATTAGGGTATAGACCAGATTATAGATGAGACTATGGACTGACTGTACACTAGTCTATAGACTAAATTATAGACTAGAATATAGCCTAGATTATAGACTAGACTGTAGACTAGTCTAGACTATAGGCTAGACTAGTTTATAGACTATTGACTAGGCTATAAACTAGATCGTGGACTAGATTATACACTAGACTGGACTATGGACTAAACTATAGACTGACTGTACACTAGACTATAGACACTAAACTATGGACTAGACTATACACTAGACAGTTTATAATTTAAAAAGCACAACATTTTCCATGCCTGATGTTGATTATCTTTATCAGAAAACTTGGTTTGTGTCTTCACTAAATGACTTCACTTAATATCCGCTACTTTTTGATAATTGCAACAAAAATACATACCTTCAATTCAAAACATTAAGAAATTTAAACAACATTATTATTTTTTTTTAAAACATTTCGTTTAGAACTACACCTTTTTTATTTTTTTTTTCTTTGTTTTAATATTTTCTTTTATAAGTTCAAATTAATAATTATGTTTTTATTATTATTTCGTTTATTAGCTTTAGGTTTTTTTTTAACAAATATTAATAATTATTATGCATTTTCATTTTCAATTAAGGGGGGTTTTCAACAGTTATCATTTATTTCAATAATTAAAATTACTTTTTACGACTTTTTACTAAAATTTGGTCTAAAATGTATGTGTTTGGGGGGGGGGAGTGTTTTCCAAGTATTAAGGTGATTTTTAAAGAAAAAAATTTAAATTTTAAAAATAAAATAAATTAAAAAGTTTAACAAATATTTCAATATTTTATTGCTGTTAATAATTATAACAAAAAGACACATTAAAAATTGTGTTTTAGGGGGATAAGGGGATAAATATTATTATTATTATTATTATGTGTGTGTATGAGAGATTTTGTCTTGTTTAATTAGTTTAAATAGGAATTGTAAGTGTGTTGTTTGTTATTATTTAAAAAAAGTTATTGTTTATTTAAAGAACAATTATGTTGTGGTTTAATATTTAATTGTTTATTTAATGTTTTTAATATAAAGGTGTTACATCTTTATTTATTACCATTTATTTTGCTAAAAGCTTTTAAAAGCTTAATGAAGAAAGTTGTTTTTTGTGGGGATTAATTTATTTCTTAATATTACTTTTAATATTTTCAATATTAATTTCATTTTTTGTGTAATTTTTTTTAAATATTTATGTATTTTTTACAATTTGTCTAATAAAGTGTTTGTGGGGAGTTTGTTTGTTATTTTAAATTTATAAATATTTATTTAAAATCATTAAACAAAAATAATGAAAAAAAACTTTCTTTTGAAAGTTTTTTTTTCACCTTTTTTTAAAAATTTCATAATTATTTTAATTATTTAAGTTTAATTTTTTATTTTAATTCATTTTAATTTCTAAATGTTTTTATACTTTTTTTTTAATATTTTAACTAACAATTCAGGGGCGGGGAAGGGTCTTTTTTGTTATATAAAGTTTTTTTTTTTTAATTTAATTTTGTGTTAAATTTTTTTGTACATTCAAAATATGAGCTTTTTTTTAATATTTTGTTTTTAAGTTGAAATGTTTTATGTTTTTACCTACATTTAATTGTGTTAGTGTTCTTTTAAATATATTTTATATATAAATTAAATTTATAAATAATAAAAAATTTAAAAATATATTCTATATATAATAATGTATTAAATAATAATAATAATAAAAAAAAGACTTAAAGCATTTAAATTGCCACGAAAATAATATTTGTTTTACTTTGTCCTTATTTAAAAGGCATGTTTTAAGTTAAATTTGATTTTAAAAAGTTTATATTTTGAAACCAAAAGGGACAATATTAAAAAACCAAAAAAATCTAAAATTTTCAAAATTTTTAAGTCTAAAATGAAAAATTTGTAAGAATTTCAACTCCAATATCAATAAAATTATATTTTTATGAATCCTCCTGATTTTAAGATAATTTTAACAATTTAAAAAATTTTTCGAACTTAAGTTCGAATTTTCGAAATTAAGTTCGAACTGTCGAATATAGCATAAAAATCATATACATTGAAACTACATTGGAAATACTTTAATAAATTGGGAATATAACTTAAAAATCATATATTTTGAAACTACATTGAAAATACTTTGAAAAATTAAGAATTTTTTTAAAATTTTTCGAAAATTTTACTTTCGAAAGTTGAAATTTTGAAGAAATTGCTTACAAATCTAATAAAACATATATTTTTTTGAATCCTCATGATCTATAGATAATTTTATTAGTTTTAAATTTTTTTCGAACTTAAGTTCGAATTTTCGAAATTAAGTTCGAAGTTTCGAAAATGTCATAAAAATCTAATAATTCGTAACTACATTGAAAAAAACTTTAATAAATATCAAAAATAGCTTAAAAATTATATATTTTGAAACTAAATTGAAAAATCATGGAAATTTTGAATTTTTTACCAAAATTTTTATGTTCGAAAGTGAAAAATTGCAAGAAATTGACCTCCAATAATAGTAAAATTATATTTTTATGAATCCTCATGATTTATAGATAATTTTAACAATTTAAACTTTTTTTCGAACTTAAGTTCGAATTTTCGAAATTAAGTTGGAACTGTCGAAATTAGCATAAAAATGTTTTATTTTGAAACTATATTGAAAATAGTTTCGAAAATGTCATAAAAATCATATATTTTGAATATATGAACAATTTTTAATTTTTTTCGAAAATTTTAAGTTCGAAAGCAGAACGAACTTAAGTTCGAAATTTGGTCTCAAATCAAAAAAATAATATTTTATGAATCCTCAAAATTTATAGATAATTTTAATAGTTTTAGAAAAAAATTCGAACTTAAGTTCGAATATTCGAAATTTTCGAACTTAAGTTCGAATTTATAAAAAACTTTTATTTCGATACTACAATCCAAAAACTACGAATATAATTTTCAAAATATTAAAGTTCAAAACATTTAAACACTGATATCTGGGTTATATGTTGTCTACATAATGTGGGGGAACCCGTCTTCCGATTTCTTCAAACAATTTCAAAATCAAACTTAACTCAATACCCAACCTTGATAAAACTAAAAGCTTTGTTTCCTTACTTGACCGAATTTTCGCGCCAAAACAAGAGCTTTTTTTTCAAAATATAAATAAAATTTATATGCAAGTGTAAATATTGTGTTTGTGTGTGTGTTTTTAAAGTTTTTTTCATAAACTTTTTTCTTAAAAACTTAAGTTCTAATTAAAAAAATATTGAAATAAAAAAAAGAAAATTATATACAAAATAAGAAAAACAAGAAAATATATAAAAACCTAACCTCATTTTTTCAATATGTATTATTAAAACTAACCTCAAAAATATTTTGTGTTTTTTCTGTTTTCAGTTTTTCTTTCTGGAAAGAGAGAGTTCGTAACACTTCCTTTAAACCGCTGAATTAATAACAGTTTGTTGAGCTGTAGTAGTTATAGCACCGGGTGCTGTTGTTGTAGTATTATTAACTCCTGCATTACCACTGGCTACCAAAGAAGCAAATGCCGCAGCAGCAGCTGCTGAAGTACCCGATGTTGTGGCCGTTGCTGTTATGGAAACATTTGTAGCGGTTGTGTTATTACCAGCCATATCCAAAAGGGGAGCGGGTGATAGTGAAGTTGTTGAAGAGGAGGGTGAAGAACAATCACTTTGTAGACTTAGAGCTGGTGAAGCTGAAGCATGATAATTAGATGGTGGTGTATGAGGTGATAAAGGAGAAGGTGACATACCAGGATTACCACCACCATAAGAACTTATCGATGAAATACCACTGGAGGTTGAAGCACCTGAGGGTGAGGCCAGACAAGTGGGTGTGGTTGATGTTGTGGTTATGGTCGAAGGTGAGGGTGTAAAGCCCATGGTGGTGTTATTGCTAGTAGTGTAGATTTGTTGATGTTGTGGCGTAGAACCACCGCCTCCTCCACTTGTTGTAGCTGATATTGTTGTTGATGTAGAGTGACCCATATTTGAAGAGTTTGCTGAGGCCTGTGAAGATGTTGATGGCTGTGACGAGGCATTCGAAGAGCCAGAGGTTGAAGCAGCCGCTGCTGCTTGTCTTTCACGTTCACGCTCACGATCTCTTTGTGGTCGGAATGCTTCACGTAATGCCTCAACACGATTTTCATTAGGTCCCCAACGTGCATGGCCGGCACTGTTTTGCAGCCATACCACTTGTGTACCCTGCATGCATTTAACATTGACATCATTTCTGTAAAATAGAAGATGTTATTTTAAAATTTAAAGGATATCTTTATTATAAACATCTTTCCAGATACTTACTTTGCTATAATATGCTGATAGCCATGGCGATATTCATGGGCCATACCCAAAACGACCATGGAACGACGTTTGTAAATATTTTCCTCCAATTTGGAAATACTTTTCCATTCTGGCAAGAAAATTATAAAGCTGAAATGAAAAAGGAAACTTATTAGTTTATGGATCACATAAGAAACTATAGTGTGGACTATGTAATGGATAAATGACTGGACTAGAGAATAAAGTAAAGCCTGGTCTATAGAATAGTCTATAGTCTGGTCTATAGAATAGACTATAGTCTGGACTATAGAATAGGCTATAGTCTGGACTATAGAATAGACTATAGTCTGGACTATAGATTAGACTATAGTCTGGACTATAGTCTGAAATATAGAATAGACTATAGTCTGGACTATAGAATAGACTATAGTCTGGACTATAGAATAGACTATGGTCTGGACTATAGAATAGACTATGATCTGGACAATAGAATAGACTATGGTCTGGACTATAGAATAGACTATAGTCTGGACTATAGAATAGACTATAGTCTGGACTATAGAATAGACTATGGTCTGGACTATAGAATAGACTATGGTCTGGACTATAGAATAGACAATAGAATAGACTATGGTCTGGACTATAGAATAGACTATGGTCTGGACTATAGAATAGACTATAGTCTGGACTATAGAATATACTATAGTCTGGACTATAGAATAGACTATAGTCTGGACTATAGAATAGACTATAGTCTGGACTATAGAATAGTCTATAGTCTGGTCTATAGAAAAGACTATAGTCTGGACTATAGAATAGACTATAGTCTGGACTATAGAATAGACTATAGTCTGGACTATAGAATAGACTATAGTCTGGACTATAGAATAGACTATAGTCTGGACTATAGAATAGACTATAGTCTGGACTATAGAATAGTCTATAGTCTAAACTATAGAATAAACTATAGTCTGACTAGAATAGTCTTAAGTCTGAGCTATAGAATATAGAATCCATAGTCTGGATTATATAATAGACCAGTTTAAAGTTCTTCAACTTACCTCAAAGGTTCCATAGATTCCGAAAGTAATTTATCAATATGCAAAAGAGCAGCATCAATTAATTCCTCACAATGAGGAGGATTAACTTGAAATGAACCCGAAACTGGTTTGAAATCCAAAAAGGGTCTAAAAATAAAGAAGACACAAAGATAAAAAAAAAACTTAATGCCATTAGTCTCCTATTCTTCCCAACCTACCCTCTTGAACCGAAATAAGCATCAGTATCAGCAAATGCCGAACAATATTGACGAAAATATGAATTAAATGGCGAAGCAAAACATTCGAATGTCACCCCAAAATGTCGATGTAAACACTCGAATACAGGAGTGGGCAATGAAGCCTGTGTTAGTTCAGCTTCTTGTGAAGAATTCAAGACATTACCCAAAAACGTTTGATAACGTTTCAACAGACACCAGACGCGTCCAATAAACAAATCGAATTTCTTATCATCGAAACAATTGTGACGATAGAGCTGTTCCAGCTTTTGTAAATGTGTTAGATTAATATATTGAGCATCGGGTTGATTTAGAGCAGTAGGAGTGTACTTAATAATCATGTGATCGCGATCTTGGACATATTCAATAGCGGGCATACGGGGTGAGGGCACAGCAAACTGTATGGGATAACACCAGACTTGTTTGAGATGTGGTGGTGGTGGCGGCGGTGTGGGCTCGGGTATACCATGTTCTTTTAACAGTTGCATATGACGTTCTCGTATTTTGCGTGCATGCTCAGCGGATAAATGATAGATTTTTGCACACAAAGCCTCTACGGAGCTTTTGACTGTTTCGGTTAGATGTGGTTCACACTGACGTCTTAAGTGGGCCAAACGATCTTGAAAATCTTCATAACTGGCACCCACTGTACGCCTTAGCCATTGGAATGTGTCCTCAACATTCCATTTAACCACCTTTTTGGATTCTGAAGGTGAAGATCTAGATTCTATAATATTTTTTGCAGCCTCAGCATAACGTGACAATTGTTTTCTAGCATCTCCCGTAAATTTGGGTTTAACAATCTTAATCGGTATATCGTTCATGATTTCACGATACATGGCTGATGATATCTCGGGTATACAATTGCTGGGCAATAGAGGATCACAGCCGGTATCGATAACTTTGCGTTCGATTAACCAGCGGTTAAAAGAGTCTTTAGGGGCCTTAATATTCTCACGTCTCATACAAAGATCTTCGTAAGTTTTCACCAGTTTCATGGTGTAAGCAGCGCGCAGCGCTTCTATTTCGGGATGTGGTTGTGGCAATAAAGTAGGTGGCCTTTCAACTATGACAGCATTGGTGCACACTTCTAAATCCCAGGGACCGGACAATATGAATTTCTTCATGGGCGGTGGCTGATGACCATGAGGATGCATATGCATATCATCAGATGGACGCCTTTTCAAATGGTGATGATGATGCTGCTGCATATGAGGATGTGGATGATGCATGGGTGGTGGTATATGACCACCGGGATGTGATATACCCAAGGGATCTGTTAGAGGATCAAATGGTCTTGCACCGGGCATTTCCCATAAAGATTCTCCTGTTATTTTATTCCAATAATAAGGACGGTTTTCTCTTTTCGACCAAAATTTACGCCATCCCTGATTTACCAGTTCTGCGGTCAACTCTTCGCCATAGCCACCACCGGACGTATACATGGGTGGTGGACCGCCTTGTGGTGTATGAGCCATCATATGTTCCATGGGTGAGGGACCCGATTTGGTAGGTGTTGAAGGTGAAGAACAAGTGGGACCAGCTGGTGAATTAGCTCCTGTAATTAATGAAGTCATTATATTTGCCGAGCCCGGAGCATTTGGATCATGTAGTATAGATGCTGTTGGTGCTGCTGTTGATGATATAATGCTGGGACCTATCATACCACCGGGTCCAACACCTGCACCTCCTCCTACTCCTCCGCCACCCATTATAAGAGAAGTATTGATATTTGTATTATTATTTGTAGTTGCGGTCAATTGATCCCAAGCTGCTTGATTGCTGGTAATATTATTTTGTTGTTGTTGCTGTTGTGGCATATTCATATGTTGTACCATGGGACTTACAGTGCCTGTCGATGCAATGACACTTTGTGGCATTACACCGCTTGTCATTGGCATTAGATTTGTGGTCTGTTGCGGCGGCAGACCATGATGCATATTGTGCATATTGTTATTAGCTGCCATGATGAGAATGTGTTTAAAACTAAAAATTAAGAAAATTTTCAATAAATTACCGATAAACATTGGATTACAAAAATGAGTAGTCTGGAGTATGAAATAGTCTATAATCAGAACCATAGAACGGTTTAGAGTCTGGGCTATATAATAGACTATAATTTGGAGAAACGAATAGTTTAGAATCTTGACTAAAGTATAGTTTAGAGCTTAGAATAGTTTAAAGTCTACAATTTAGAATAGACTAATGTCAGGACTTTATAATAGTCTGTATTCTGGAATAGTCTATAGTTTGGACTATAAAATAGTTTAGACTACGGACTATAGAATAGACTATACTCTGTAGTATAGAATAGACTATAGAGTAGACTATAGTCTGGACTAAAGAATAGACCATAGTCTGGACTATAGAATAAGTAGGACTATAGTCTGTACTATAAAAAAGACTAAAATATGAATAGATAGATTATAGTCTGGACTATATGAATAGACTATGTCTGGACTATGAATAATCTATAATCTGGATTATATAATAGTCATTAGTCTGGACTATAGAATAGTCTATAGTCTGGACATAGAATAGTCTATAGTCTGGACTATAGAATAGTCTATAGTCTGGACTATAGAATAGTCTATAGTCTGGACTATAGAATAGTCTATAGTCTGGACTATAGAATAGTCTATAGTCTGGACTATAGAATAGTCTATAGTCTGGACTATAGAATAGTCTATAGTCTGGACTATAGAATAGTCTATAGTCTGGACTATAGAATAGTCTATAGTCTGGACTATAGAATAGTCTATAGTCTGGACTATAGAATAGTCTATAGTCTGGACTATAGAATAGTCTATAGTCTGGACTATAGAATAGTCTATAGTCTGGACTATAGAATAGTCTATAGTCTGGACTATAGAATAGTCTATAATCTGGACTATAGAATAGTCTATAGTCTGGACTATAGAATAGTCTATAGTCTGGACTATAGAATAGTCTATAGTCTGGACTATAGAATAGTCTATAGTCTGGACTATAGAATAGTCTATAGTCTGGACTATAGAATAGTCTATAGTCTGGACTATAGAATAGTCTATAGTCTGGACTATAGAATAGTCTATAGTCTGGACTATAGAATAGTCTATAGTCTGGACTATAGAATAGTCTATAGTCTGGACTATAGAATAGTCTATAGTCTGGACTATAGAATAGTCTATAGTCTGGACTATAGAATAGTCTATAGTCTGGACTATAGAATAGTCTATAGTCTGGACTATAGAATAGTCTATAGTCTGGACTATAGAATAGTCTATAGTCTGGACTATAGAATAGTCTATAGTCTGGACTATAGAATAGTCTATAGTCTGGACTATAGAATAGTCTATAGTCTGGACTATAGAATAGTCTATAGTCTGGACTATAGAATAGTCTATAGTCTGGACTATAGAATAGTCTATAGTCTGGACTATAGAATAGTCCATAGTCTGGACTATAGAATAGTCTATAATCTGGACTATAGAAAGTCTATAGTCTGGACTATAGAATAGTCTATAGTCTGGACTATAGAATAGTCTATAGTCTGGACTATAGAATAGTCTATAGTCTGGACTATAGAATAGTCTATAGTCTGGACTATAGAATAGTCTATAGTCTGGACTATAGAATAGTCTATAATCTGGACTATAGAAAGTCTATAGTCTGGACTATAGAATAGTCTATAGTCTGGACTATAGAATAGTCTATAGTCTGGACTATAGAATAGTCTATAGTCTGGACTATAGAATAGTCTATAGTCTGGACTATAGAATAGTCTATAGTCTGGACTATAGAATAGTCTATAGTCTGGACTATAGAATAGTCTATAGTCTGGACTATAGAATAGTCTATAGTCTGGACTATAGAATAGTCTATAGTCTGGACTATAGAATAGTCTATAGTCTGGACTATAGAATAGTCTATAGTCTGGACTATAGAATAGTCTATAGTCTGGACTATAGAATAGTCTATAGTCTGGACTATAGAATAGTCCATAGTCTGGACTATAGAATAGTCTATAATCTGGACTATAGAAAGTCTATAGTCTGGACTATAGAATAGTCTATAGTCTGGACTGTAGAATAGTCTATAGCTTTGGACTAGAGAATAGTCTAAATCTGGACTATAGAATAGTCTATATCCTGGACAACAGAATAGTCTATAGTCTGGACTGTAGGATAGTCTATAGTCTGGACTATAGAAATTTCTATAGTCCGAAATATAGAATAGACTATAGAATAGTTTATAGTCTGAGCTATAGAATAGACTATAGTCTGGGCTATAAAATAGCATATGGTCTGGACGATAGAGTATACTATAGTCTGGACTGTAGAATAGATTATAGTCTGGACTATAGAATAGATTATAGTCAGGACTATAGAATAGTCTATAGTCTGGACTATAGAATAGTATATAGTTTGGACTATTGGTAGTCTTTAGTCTGGACTATAGAAGAGTTTATAGTTGGGACTATAGAATAGTGTATAGTCTTCACTATAGAATAGTCTATAGTCTGGACTAGAGCATAGTCTTTAGTCTGGATTATAGAATAGTATATAGTCTTATATTATGGATAGTCCTATAGTCAGGTCTATAGAATACCCTATAGTCTAGATTATAGTTGACCTATATTAAAGTCTATAGTCTACATTATAGAATAGTGAATAGTCAGGTTTTTGGAATAGTCTATAGTCTGGATTATAGATTTTTTATGCATTAATTTCTTTATAAACAAGAAACACATTTCGCTCGTTCTCTTCCAATTAGTAAGAAAACGAAAACAGTTAAACGACATCCAATTCCCTACACGATCTGAATACAAAATATAGTATTTTACAGGTAAATTTGTTTACATAGAGTTTTAAATATGAATAATTACTCATATGCTCTCTCAAGTTTTAACAACATTACCTATATTTACTAATTGAACATAACAGCTGTCAAAATTTCCAATTTGGAGAGTGGAGATAAAAACATTTAAAATACTAAACTAGGGACAAACATACAAAAAAAAAATTGTGTTCTCAAATTATTAACAAGAATACAAACAGAAAAAGTAAACAATCTAACAAAACTGCTAAAAAAAAAAACAACTAGCCGAATGAGGATGATGAAGATTTAAACAACAAAAACAATAAACTGACGACGACCTCTGCGAAAAACCAGAACCCATAATAATAGAGAATAAGAAGACGAAAATTCATATTTATAAAATGAGAACACAGGCAAGCTAGAGCCACAGTCATAAATAAGCAGGCAACTTAAAAACATCCACCAGAAACCGCACGGTTTATAAAAAGAAATAAAAATTGGGGAAAAAAAAGATAAAA